TTGCCAGATGCGTTTTAACGCGACAACGGCGAGTTATTATTTCATTTGCCAGCAGCTTCCCAAGCGCTTAATTGCCAGATAATGTATTTCTTTGTCGTTGTCGTCCTCGTTGCAGTGACAGCACCGTGGCAATTCAGCCTCGAGATCGGGCTAATTATTTACAGCTAGCGCGCGCAAAATACAAATCAGAGAAGGAAATGCCGACGACGGCGGCCACGGCCTCTTGACTTCGTCGTCCTGTCGAGAGAACAAACGTTTCCGTTTGCCTTGAAATTGCTGAGCACTGGCATAGCTTCTAGTTGCTCGCTGATAAGAGCCATCTTTTTTTTTTCGTTCTTTAGGCCTCCGTTTCGGCATTTGGCAAATCGGCAAACGGCAAGCTCGCATTGCCGCACTTTTCTTTCTTTTCGGTGTGCGCGTGAGCGACTCGTCAATGCGCTACGTAAACAAGAATAAATTATGTAAATGTCGTGTATTTCTTAGATGTCGCTACGAGCGAGCACCGCAAGACGATCACGTGCTATAAATACCCATGAAATAACCTCGAGCCAATGCCATTTATGCAATCGAAACACAGCTAACTCTGTGCGCCTGCCGAGTGAAACACAATATTATTATTAATCGTTCGGCAACGTCGCCTACCCTGAGAATCACGCTCAGAAAAGGAATGCTCGTCGACAAGAAAGAATGCGTAGACAAGAGACGGGGAAAGGGAATTGGATGTGCAATCGGCAAGAGAATTAATCAAGAGCTGGTTCCATCAAGCGCATCAAATCAGCGAGCGAGTTATTGGTTGGCTTTTTGTATCCCGTATTTCCGAGTTGGGAGAGGGGAGAGAAGTTGTCTCAAGTCTCTCCCTCTCTCTCTCTCTCTCTCTCTCTCTCTCTCTCTCTCTCTCTCTCTCTCTCTCGCGTGCAGTGACAGACATACAGAGAAGCGGTAATCCCGACGAAGGCCGGGGGCAGCCGCGTTCCGGCAATCTTTGCAATTATTGGAGATTCAATTATCGGCAGCGGCGGCGCGACTTAATTAGCTCTCGCGAGCTACGCCGTCTTTACATCGGCCGATAGCGCTCGATAATAGAGATAGGCGTCGCGCCGGCTGTGCGCCCGTCCTTAATTAAATGCATTATGTGTCCTTTTCGGGCCGATTCGCCGACCGTCGGCGCTTGGTGCCGCGTACGCGTGCAACGGCCGAACGACCGATGCCCTCGGGGGCGAGCCGCCCGACACGCTATTCCGACAATAGCTCTTGTGGAACGAATAAATTTCCGCGATGCTACTGCTGGTGCCGGTGCTGCTGGTGCTGCTGCTGGGATTTATATATTTGGCGACGCGACGCGCAGCGCCGGGCGCCCGCACAAAGTTCAGAGCGATTCATTTCCTTCGCGGGACGCCAGCGGCGCGCGTCAAGTAATCGTAATTCTAATGCGCGCGCCGTCATTTCCCTCGTTCGCCATTGTTCGTAATTTTAGCAATCAATCATTTGGCCGAGCTTCGCTGCTAACTGCTGATGAAATACATCAATCCATGTAAAGCGTATGTAAAACGCACTCCGTGATGTATCGTTCTTTCGCAGTGACAACGTGTACGTCAAGAATAGTTTCCTGTTTATACCGATCGCATGATTAATACGCCCATGTAAATGGCCGACAGTGTCATAGTGTTCGGTGAACGCGGCTAAAAGAACAAAGGCCCGAAAGGCCTTTCCGGCGGGAAAGGAAGCCCGTGATTTTCTTGGTTCATTCGCGCAAAGGCTAGACCCGCCTCGTCAGTTATCCGCGGGCAAGTTCGTCTAGCTCCCCCGATCAGTGTATATAAGACGATCGTCTGTAACCCCGGCGCCAAAGTTTCTACGGTCAATTGAGCTTGCTGACGCCGCTAAGGCTTTATATATTTATAGAAGCCCAACATTCTTTGTCAATTATGATTAAAGCTTGAGGAGGTATATTATCGCTTAAACTTCAATAAAGGTCCATCAATGGTACTTTTTAAATGGATGTTGATCAACAGTTTGACGGAAAAATTTGAGTGATATGAACTTAGTCGCTGCTTAAAAAAGCATTTTATTCGCATCGGGAAACAAGAGAAGAATAACAGGCGTTTGATTTTCTTTATAGCAACCGAGATTTTCAAGCGATGCATTTTGCTTACACCAGCTGCAATCTTTGCTTCTGGAGCGTAATAGGCGGTGAAAAAGAGTGGGCAAAGAAAAAAAGGAAGAAAAAGCAGAAGAAGGCGAAGGAGAAAAAGAGGTAGGGAAAACAAGAAGAAGTGGGGTAGGAAGAAAGAAGACGAGGATAGGTAAACGTGGAGCGAAGTGTCTTGGGCAAGTAGTAGCTACACGAGGCTTTCTCGGCTCTGCCGATATAGGAAAGCAGCGCGCTGTACGGAAAAATTGAAACAGGCTGGCGTGCGCTCTCCATGATGTACAGTGGATGCGCGTTACGAACAATGGAGCCGCGCGATGACGAGAAAGCGAGAGCTAGAAAAATACGGCAGACGGAATCGAAGATGAAACGCGAGAGCTGTTACGCGAGCTTTGCTGCTGAATAATAGCTCGAAGCGGCGAACGCCAGGCGAAGCTATATTCTATTGGTCGACTCGTTACCCGAGGGGTTAGAAAGTCTATCAAGTCACGGCCGTAAGGCGATTGAAACAATAGAACCGCCGCAAAGGAGAATGGGCATCGTACAACGGAGAGTCGTCGTGTGATTAAGCGGCAGCAGATGAAAGCTCATTGCGAGCGTCATGAGCGATTTCACGCGGAATTTAATCTGAAGGCATCCCGACGTTAACGTGCACAATCGCATAACATTACGTCTGTGCGGCGCGAGCGAGTACACCGTGCGTAGAGCACATACGGTGCGCGCACAGAAGGCAGCCTGTTTGACCAGTCGACCCTGTAAACTTCGAATCACAAACGCCCAGCCATTCGCGATCCTTTGACAATGAAATGGAACGCCATTGTGGCGCGATCTCTCTCTCTCTCTCTCTCTCTCTCTCTCGCTCTTCCTGCTTTTATTTGTCCAAATAAAACGGTGACGATGAAAAACGAAATGGAACGCTGCGGGACGAACTACTTGTCTTCGCTCGCGCATACAAACAGAGAAAAGCGTCATGCGAAATTTACAATTCGATGGCTCGACTGTGTACGGATAAACCACGCTAGATAGATCGCGCGGCTATAGGACGGCAACTCGTTTAAAAGCGACAACAAGACGTCGGCTTGCTTGTATGCAGATGCGTTGCCGTTCATTTCCCAATTCGATACTCCATCTACTCCCTCTCTTTCCACCCACTGTACTAGTTGCTTTTCACTTACACTGGCTTTCGTTCCTTTTTCCCTCTCAGTTTTTGCGCATAGCAAAAGAAACTCGATTATAGCACTCTTTGAATGCGCCGTTTCCAAGTACCTCTTTTTCCAGCGAACGATTCGCACGGGCTCTCTATTATAACTGACTCTGTTTTTTACGATACTACTGAAGGGAGAGAAAACTCAATTAGCAAATTAACGCGGCCACTTAACGACACAGCTGCGCGTAACTGTGTGTACGGAGACGCGGCAAACGGAAATTAAGTCCGTTCAATGGACACTCTAGATTGGAACTTTATTGAAAAGCACGGGTGAACGAATGGATATGATTTTAGCGAATTTGAAAGGTGTACCCCGAAGCCAACTTTGATTGGCAGTTCCAGTTTTTTCCAGAAAAAAACTGTATAAGTCTGACTTTTTTGCCAGAGCCGAGTCGGGAAATTATTCGGAGAGTAGAGGCTGTTTACAGCAAGCGGCATTGAAATCCGGTGGAATTCACATGGTGATGCGCATAATCTCGCCATTATAAGAGATATAATAGAGAGGGAGGCGACGGAGGTGGTGTAAGTCAGCGGCGCTGGCCCAGCTAGCGGCAAACACGACGCGGTAAAGCGCTCGGGAAGTTTATCTCGTTTTTGCGCGGGAGGGAAGCGCGATGATACTGCGAGATCAGTGTCGATTTACCTAATGAGCTCTGGAATCGAGTTGCGGTGAAAGTTGCAACAAGCGTCCACCGCGGCTGCGCGCTCTATAGCTCTTGCAAGTTCGCCCGCAAGTTTCGGACGGACTCGCAAGGAGGAAGTCGGGGGAAGGGCTTTCGATACTTTCGAGTCACGAGGCCGCGCACGTGTGCCAGCCGCGAACAGCGACTCGCTCCATTGTAACTCGATGGCGGCGGCAGCAGCAGCAACATGCTTGCTTATGCTCTTTGTTTGAGGAATCTCGTTACTCTCTCTCTCTCTCTCTCTCTCTCTCTCTCTCTCTCTGTACGTGCACGCGCATCTAGGATGCGGCTTACACACCCACCCTCCATCCATTGTGCAACAGTTTATTAAGATTAAGCTAGGATGTATTTCCAGCTTTCGCTCGCTTGCAGACTGCCTGTGACATTTCATTTTACTTTGAGCGCTCAGTTATGTTGCGCGTTTAACGCAATTATTCTGCTATTCCAACTTTGTTGAATACACTTGTTAGCTTATATATTTGGCAGGGCAAGACTTTCTAGTCATTTGAATGTCAGATCTCAGACTTCCTAGAGACATTTTCCAACTCAACTGCATGTCAAATCATTTCGCCAGCGACGAATATTCGTTCTGGGAAAACTAGTCTTCGGAAGTAACGAGAAATTCTAAGAAGGCGGTAATTTGGAAAAAATGTACAAGTAGTTTTGAATTAGAAAACACGGGGTAATTTGGAGTTATTAGAATTCGTCTCCGGTTCATAGCCTACGTAGCATTATATTACAGAAAGTGGAAATACTCGAGAGAGGTAAAGGATGTACTTTGACAAATGCAAGGTGTAAGGGAGTTGTCGACAATGGAAATGGTAGTTTGAAAGTAGAATAGAGTGAAGTAGGGGGAGTCGGAATATACCCGTGTGCAGCAGTAGCAGCAGCAGGGAGAAGGAGAGCAAAGGGGGAAAATAGGATGGCTGGGGAAGTGTAGTTGGAGAGTGAATATACTCACTTGTCGAAGGCGCGCACTCGTAGGATAAGCGGCTGATCCCTCGCGGCCCCTGTAACATCGCGACGCACTCGATCGCGATGTCGGCGTAAGGCCGCCGCGTCGTACCAGGCCGGCTCATAGCGGCGCACGTACGAGTTACGGATTATTCCTGAAACACACAAAAGTACCATTTCTTTTAAAGTTATTTCAATTTTTATCGATTTTTCATCAATACCCTGTTAAAAATACATGAAGCGTTATTTTAACGTGAGCTCTCGATCGCTGGACCTATGAATTGGTGTTGATTTGAACAAGCTCTAAGCAGTAAACGACTTTAAAACAAATTATCGTGGTCGTCAGTGAAATCCTGTCGTGCTAAGATTCAACAATTCTATATATAATAAAAGTATTGTATTGCGTGCATGAAATTTTGAATATTTTTAATTACTGTAATAATTCTGAACCAATATGATTAAATATATATATTTTTCTTTTTCTCATCTTTTCTGGCGAACGCTTTCAACTTTATAGAATTCTTTGTCGAATAATTCGATTTATTAGACATTTTAAACTCATTTCTCGTTCCATAATCGGACAAATGTGCAGATATGAATATATATTGTTTCATCATAATATGATAAATATATATATTTAATCATATATTCATATATATATTTAATCATATATTCATATATATATATTTAATCATATTATGATGAAACAATATATATTCATATCTGCACATTTGTCCGATTATGGAACGAGAAATGAGTTTAAAATGTCTAATAAATCGAATTATTCGACAAAGAATTCTATAAAGTTGAAAGCGTTCGCCAGAAAAGATGAGAAAAAGGGTGTGAAAAATCGTCGAATGAAAAGTATAATAAGCGATAATGCGTCGGCAAGAGTTGGCGCGCGGATAATAAGGCATCGGCACAAAGTGCGCGAGCAATAGTTGAAAAGAGAATTGTGTACAATTGATTCCCGATAAAGCATCTCATTTGCTTAATGCAGCAACGCGGTCGGGAATGAACGGTGCGCCGGGAGGGTAAGCGATAAAATTTGTTTTTCAGTATGTCGCGCTATCGACTCTGCCTTTCTCTGGCGGCGCTACATTATCGCGGTAGTCCGCAGGTTGATTCATGAAACTTTAATTAAGCGTGATTAATAGCACACGGAAAATTCCTTTTCTCTGCGACAGTCCCCGCGACCCGTATCTTTTATGAACGTCTGCAGATGGGAATGCGAAATACAATCGCTCTCTCTCTCTCCCTTTATATATATATATATAATCGCGCGAGCGCAAGCGGCTAAAGCAATTCGCAATCATTATCTGCGTTTCTCTGCCCGCGCGGTTTCCATGCTTCATCCGCGCGTCGATTCACGCAATTTCATATCTGCTCGCACAGCCTCATTTTCCCCAGCTCTCTAATTTTTCATGCTCAGCGGCCTATCTCAACTCCACCAGCGATCGAAGACTGGCCGTGCGAATAATTTTTCTGTGCTCTTTTTTCTCCACAGGTGATTCATGAGGTCACCAGAGCGCGCCTCGCGCGAAACCCACAGCAGCCGCATCGACAAGAACTTTTCCGCTTAAGCTCACTAGGTTTTTCAATGAATACATTACTCTCTCTTTCTCTGCTGCAAAGTTGACACGCTTGCTCGCCCAGTATCTCATACACCAAATGCAAAGCGAGCATTAAACTCGTGTTTGACGCAACAAAGCCACGTCGAGTCGAGCATGGACACGAGCTTTGTTCGAGAGACAACTCGCTGGTTTTCCTTTTCCGACTCTTCAGTTTTTACCTGCCGATGGATTGCACGCAGCAAAGTGAAGCTCTTTGTGCCTTTCCTTCATTAATGCAACGCAACAGTGCAGCGCAATCGAATAATCGCTCGCTCTCGTGAATAATTACGCTTCGTAAATGCATCAAAAACGTTCGATTATTGGCGGGCGCTCGTGCAGCGCGCTTGGCCTGCTCGCCGGCATTAAACAGCGTTTATTAGACTGGAAATGCTAATTAATTTGATAAGTCTTCAAGCCGAGTTCAAACGATTACACCAGCGATCATTTGACCTGTTTTCCCCTCTGGTAAACACGACTCGCGTACTTGCGAATGAGTTTGTCCACATAACGAGCTTGTAAAAAATAATATTCGAGGATAATAACACCGTTGCCGCTCGGCGCAGATTGCAAATAGGATTGTTCGGCGCGTTAAACATTTCATTGGGTTACGAACATAAGTTGATTAGGCAGCGCGAGCGGTAAAATATGTATACGGAGTTTATCGCGCGAAATTAGGTATGCAGATTGATCGCGTGCAAAAACACGATAACGAGGCTGGCGCGCTTAGCATTAGTGTGCGATTGGCAGCGTCGCCGGGGTTTCCGAACTGGCGCGCAATCGGCGTTGCGCGCGCGCTGCCCCCGCAAGGACGATCTGTCGCCCTTGCCTCGTCGGCGCGCAAACCAAAAAAATAATTGGCAAGAGCTTTCGCCGTTGCAGGCCTGCTCGACAGTGCGCAGAAGAGCCTGCATCCGCGGCGAGCTTGCGTGATTACGATGTTAAAGCGATACCCAACAAGCGCACGCGCGGCTGCGAGTCGATAAATAACGGACGAGCGAGCTGGCGTTAGTGCCAAGCCAGCGCGAGTAACCGAGCCAAAGATTCGCGGAAAAACGGAGAGAGCGAGAGGCGCGAGAGGCGCGAGAGGCGCGCGATACCTGGAAACTCGCTGTCGTTCAGCGCTCACCGCGAAAAAATTCGAAGAATCGTTATCGTAACTGTGCTTTGCTCCGTCGTCGATATTTTCCTTTCGCGCGCGTATAACCGCACGTTTCTCTTGCGACGCCTCGCACGACAACTTATCCTCACTCCGTGCTATGTGCGATCAGAGAATCGTTCGACGAATCTATCGTCGAATTCGAGCAGCTTCGATACTTAGCCAGCGCGCACTCTCGGCAAATCTTCATTCATTCTGCAAATTGCACTTACGCGCTCGGCGTCAATTCAAGTGGAGCGTTCGACTAAAATTATAGAAAATTAGTCGAGTAATTCGTGTTAATTCATTCAATTGTCGTCTCTCACTTCTCACCTGTACGTTTTTTCCTCTCGACCTTAACACTAACAATCAAAAATTTAACTTTTATACTTTTTCTTGATGTCATTCATGCACTATACAAGTCAAGTCAAGATATTGAGTAATACGGCAATACACAAGAGCGTGCTATCAGTTTTACAAATGGAGTATTATTTTCACTCCACGAAAATATATAACAGCGTGTTTGCTCGCGGGAAAAAGGCACATGAGATGGTAAAGAAAAGCCAAGAAGAACAGCATCCCACGGACTTTTATCGATATTTTCAACGTGGCACGTTAAAAAGTTGGAATAGCAGGCAAATTGGAGAAACGTGCTCTCTCCCTCTCTCTCTCTCTCTCTCTCTCTCTCTCACGCGAGGTTATCGTACTGTAATGGCCAAAGACGTGAATGGACGCCACGAAAAAAAATCATTGAATCTCGGTGAAAAACGCCGTTAGCGAGCGCCCACGAGAGAGAAAGAGAGAGAGAGAACATACTGTACGAAGAAGGCATTAACGCTTTGAAACTGCGCACTCGCGTCAGATATGTAAATCACTATGGAGGCGTGTCGTCGACCGAATAAAATCCCGCAGCAACTAGACGTCCCGAGGCAAAAAAAAGCAACACGAAAATCACATGACTAAGAATCGTCGAGTTTTTACTGCAACGAGAGTGATGCTATTGCTCTTAGCTGAGGTTAATGCATTCTATGTATATTACAGCAGCTAATCAAGTGGTCGCTACCGTCTCTACCTCTCTTTCTCTATTTCTTTTACACGACACCAGTAAACATGATCTAATACGCAAGTTTATTATTACACCGCACACAACCTCCTTTCAAAAATTAAATAACTGCAAGAAGTAAAAAAAAAGAACCGGTGATTTACTCGCTTGGTAGATTTATTACGGTGCTTGAATAAACTCGCTTCTTTAATCGTTTTTTAATGATGATAATAGGTACGGAAATAGGCTTGTGGAGGACTACGTCATCAATCCACGTTGACACAGTAACGCGTTCACGTGCACGATGATACAGCTGAAAATTTACGAAATAAGAAAAATGACACGAACTGTTCGGCAAAATGAGAAAAATTGGACTGCGCGCGATGCTCCCAAGGCGAAACTAGCATTGCCGTTGGTCAGCGCGCAAATCAAACGTCCGTCGACTTCGACGATCCCGAGTGTATCGGGCAACGAACTCGCCTGAATAAACGATAAAAATTATTGAGCATACACGCGGCGCAAGGAAAGAAACGGGACAATACAATTGTGCTCGCGTGGGCTCCCGAAGAGTTGCACGTACAACCGCATCCTACGTAGGTCTATAACGCAGTAGGTTTTCCCACGCGCGCGGCGCGGCCTATATCGAGCATAAAGCTAATTGTGCGCGTGTGCCAAGAGTGAGCGAGCGAAGCCATTGTCACGCGGAGAGCACTCACGCACACACAGCAGCCCAAAGTTCAAGAGCGCGCCAGCGCGTGTCTATTATGACGACGTGTCTTCGAGAGGACGACGCACCTTGCTAATATGAGAGAGAACTAGTCGCAGGCAGTGAGAGAAAAGAACCTTATGCTTATTGTTCCCGAACAATGACAACATTTTTTCTTTCCTCTCCTCCTTCACGTCGACCGCGCACTCCAGTCCAGATACGTGTACACTTTTGAAAGCTCTTTCAAAAGGACTCGACTCTTGGAGATGTCGTGCAAGTGTATTGTTACGAGCTCATGAGTGAAAGTCTAATTTTGAGAGTAATTTCGTGTTACATATCTCTTTCTCTCTGTAACGCAATGCTGCTACTCTGCTCTCCCATTGCCTTTCGCGCTTGCAAAGAAACTCGTTTAGCGTGTAAATTATTTACAAAGTCATTTTTTCCGCGCCGCGGAAAAAATTACTCGACGAACAAATGAGTGTTTGAAAGTAGGTAGTTGAGAGAGAGAGAGAGAGAGAGAGAGAGAGAGAGAACTTGCTCAAAGTTCCAGGATACCGAGAGATAAAAAAGAGAGAGAGAAGGCAGGCAGAGTACAAAAGTTAACCGATTTTACCAGTAATTTTTATTCGCTAGAGTGCAAAATCCATTATGCAGATTCTTCCATGGGCGCGTTAAAAGCATTTTAAACGGAGGAAACGGAAAAAGTTGACGCGATAAAGGCGCCGCTGAAGCTAAATAATAAAATCCGTAAGCAAAGCTAGAGCAAGTTTAATCCGGAATAAGTGCAAGTTTCTCGCGGTTTTCGTGTCTCTTTCTCTCTCGTGAATCATCGTTAATATATTTGCGAGTGACGTGGTCGCCGCTCCGCGCGCGCGTGTATCGTTGCGAAATAGCCGACTAGGCGCCGAGAGTGCGTGGCAGCTGCATTTTGGCACGTCGGGCAAATCCGAAAGAGCATGCGTCTCAATTAAGGATCAGCTCTGCGCACGCTTGGGACGAGCTTGGTACATAGGGCGCATACGATGTATACATTAACCGGCAACACACGCCGTTTACCGGCCTACCCGCATATATACGTGTGCGCCACCACTCGCTTTTAAAATCTGCTATTCTCTCTTTCGACGATTATTATGCCAACAGACTGTAATTTGCATGTTTTTTTCATTTTTATGTTTCATTCGAGCTTCGGTGCTTTCTTTTATAAATGACACTCATGTTTTTGCAGGCTCCAAAGCTTTCGAAACAAAGATGCGCTTGTGGCATGCAGCTCATTGTTGCACAATAAGTTCCTTTGCCAAGCGGAAAATTTCATCCCCAACTATTATCGATTATTCCAAGGTAATCTAAAAAAATAACGAACTTGTACGCAGTCATAATCCCTGCGGAGTAGCATTGATTACCGAAGTCGCCGAACGAAAGGATAAAAAAGCTCACCAATAGGATTAAAAGCAAAGAGACAATCCAAAGCGAAATCTCGAAACTCGAAAATAGCATTAAAACTCATCAGATTTTGTACGGACTCGCGCGCGCGCGAGCGCGCCCACGGACACGCTCGAGCTTAATTAGCTCTTGTTCAATCTACTATGGAGTGCGTCCGCGAGTTTAAATAAGCAAAATTCAGAGGCGTATGCGCGACGAGCAGTAATCCACAGAAAATTAGTCTAATGCATATACAAGCAAAGTTAGCTTGCACTTGTTCTCTCGGCGAATGGGGCCACAAAGCGCGATAAGAGTGCATCGCAAACTCGCTGATGAAGCGAATGTATTTGCAGGCAGACGCGCTTAGGGGACAAGGAAAAAAAGACGAAGGACGAGCGAACGCACTCACCTAGATGCGGTCTGGCTGGCTGCAAGGGCAGGCCTTGCACGAGGACGAGGAGCCAGAGTAGCACCAGCGGCAGAGCCGTGCGCATGGTACCTCGAGTGGCTCGCAAGGCGGTCGAGGTGCGCGTCGTGCAACGCTACCTTCGCCCGCACAGCGGCATCGCCTGCGATGCTACTGCTTCACTGCTGCTCCCACTTTTCGCACCGCTCGTCCACACTTCCAATGGCATTCGGCTTTTTCACTCTTCTCTTCGCCTGTCTTCCTTATTATCGGCTGCGATGGCACATTCTGGCGCTCGGCTCTGCAACGATAATCACAACGTCGCGGTAAGTCGCGTGCACGGCATGGACAGCGTCTTACGTCTATACAGTGCGTGCGAAAACAACTAGATGATGGCTGCTTTGTTTGCGCTTATGATGAAGTCGCTCGTTATTACGCGCTGGTGTGCGTTGCTTTTGTTTCCTAACGGGGCGTCGCGCGGATTACGTTATTTATTGCCAGGAAATGAACTTGAACTACTTGATATTTTACCCAACTTTTATTCTCTTTACCTTTTGTTCGCATGTAAATCGAATTATCATCGATTCACGTTTCATTTTTATATGTTGAAGATTTTTTTTTTTCAAGAGATGAAAAATGCCCGTATTTTGTTATTTTTTAAAATCGATCGCGTATATGATGTATAATTTAATTATTGAAAATGGTATATTCTTCAAATTAAGCTGAATTCATGAGCTTCATGCATCGACATAATAACTTTGTACAATTTATTCTCTAACTGATGCTTCTAACCTGGTATTATCGTTTTCAGAATCTCAACTCATTAATTGTCACTATACTCTCCGTCTTTGCCAGTTTTCTTTTCAACTGTCACTTTACTAACAAATTAGTCATTCTTAATCAGTGAAATTTTCTTTGATTTTAATTCAACTTTAAATCGTTATTTTAATATTAGTAAAATCAAGTCCCAATCGAGCCATCTACAATCAAACGATGGGTCTAAGCGAGGAAACAAAACACCGATAAACAACAAAGATGCGCAGCTACCGCTAAGGTGTAAATGCACTACCGCACCGCTCCTTTTATTTCAACGTTTCCGATCATTTAAATTTTTCGTACTTTACTGTGCGGTGTGGCAGTCGCCTCATCGGAATCCCCTATTTCAATTTGTTTCTATATTTTTCCTCTTCGAAATAATTTTTCCTTATTGATAAAAACAGTTTTTCTTTTTGATGAATTTTCATTCTTTTATTCATCATTTTGCTCGATCAAAACTCCGGTAGTAATGTTATTGATGAATAACTAATATTTATTTGATAATACAGCGAAACATTTATCCTCATTAATTTTCTATTATCCGACTGATATTGGGTATTATGTGCGCCAATTAAATTTTCATTGTCCATGCATTGCTACTTCCAAATAGTATTGCTACGGACGCGACGAGACCAAATTTATTGTTATGTTTCATTATATATTTAATCATTTTATATTTTTATTAAAAATTTCCAAGTAATTAATAAATTATTTTTGATTAATTTTGAGGTAGTTTTGTACATATAAAATAATTTCGAAATTAGATATCATCGTTCATATTTGTTGCCGTATAGTTAATCATTTAGAAAGGTATTTGTTGTGTATGTATCCACGCCGAGTAGTTGGTTAAGTGCAAACAACAATCATAAAGTAACCATGCGGAAGTTAAAATTTTCATGCTCTAGAGTGCAACGTCAGAGCAAACATTACCACGTGTTTCTTAAAAAAAAAACCAATTGATCATTGAACAATTAAAACAAAATTTATTAATGAAATTCTTCTTCAAGAAGCCAAAATAATACGAATAAAATAATCAAATTGATGTTAGTTTGCCAAACATTTAGCATTTGCGAAATAGTATCTTTTGAAATAGATCCTATCGCGTTTCACAAATACGTTTTGAGTGAAAACTCGTTCGCCGAAGCTATAGAGTGACCTACTTGAACTACTGGAGATATGAAAATATAATATCGATGGTCTTGTTTAGATACACCTATATGGATTTATAACCACTCCCAAATAAATTTCCAGCAATTATGAAAATTACCGACAGCGAGAGAGAGAGAGAGAGAGAGAGAGAGAGAATTAGCGAATTGCAGTGAAATAACTGCTGCTGCTGGTCGAGTAGTTGACTCATAGGCAGATGGGATGTCGTAAGAGATAGTCAGAAATCCAGAACGAGCAACAGTATAAAGCGTTACAAACGCTGGAGAAGAAGAAGAAAGTATCGGAGTGACACAGTTCGATAAGAAGGGAAAAATCAATAAGTTGAGAAAAAGTGAAACTCTAGTTGAATGGTTCTCGGTGCAGTCGCTCGCCGAGTAGTTTGAGTGGGTGGGCGTAACAGTGACGGTTTCGAAAGGATCACAACCACGACATGGCGTTACAAAAATAAAGTGTATGTATGTAAGGCACATGGATAGCAAGCGCTCATATATCTCGTCCTCGTGATCGCCGCCAAGCGCAGAGATGGCGAGAGAGAGAGAGAGAGAGAGAGAGAGAGAGACAGGCGTCAAGGTAAACGCAACGTGTACGATACACGTTTTTTTCTTTTCTTCTGTTTTTTCCCCCAAGTAAAAAACGAGCAGAAAGCCTGTCTAGCGCATCGGTGCGTGGCGCGCTCGTGGTCGCCGGAAGCCGCAGCAAGGATGTAGTAACAGAGAGAGAGAGAGAGAGAGAGAGAGAGAGAGAGAGAGAGAGAGAGAGAGAGAGAGAGAGAGAGAGAGAGAGAGAGAGAGAGAGAGAGAGAGAGAGAGCCTGAAGTGTTGTACGGCGTCGGCGCGGCGCAGTGAAATTCGCGCGAGCACGTAATTCGCGACCACGCAAGGTCATTCTCTTTTTTTTCTCTCTTTCTCTCTCTCTCTCACTCGCTCGCTCGTGGTACTTATCGTGCGGCTCGCTGACTCCTGCTATTCTTCTTACGTAAGAGAGATTTTCATTAGAAAAAAAGAGAAAAAGAGAGAGAGAGAGTCTCGCGTATAGCGCACGCACGCGAACTGCATAGGAGGCGAGTGGGTGGGGAGGCTGCAGGCACTTAATTGCGGCAAAAACGTGCGAAGTACGCGAGCGAATCAGGCCAACTCTTTTTTCTTCTTTTCTTTCGTTCTTTCTCGCGCGAGCGACTGCGGCTCGCGGTTCTCTATTTAGGCCGAGACAAAACGTCGGCTAATGAATGCCGATACGTTTCCTTTTAGCGATCCCGTTCGTTCTGCGCGCTCCGTCATTTCGGTCAGCAGCAGGCCGTCGTCCAAACGCGCGTTTCCCTTTGTTACACGTCGCTGTTAATTATAGCGCTCGCGCCCGTGTTCCCCGGCCGATCTTCATGTGTGCATTTTTCTCGGCGCGCTTTTTTTTTCTTTTTGATCCACCCTCCTTTGTTGCACGCGGCTCTCCATGCTCAATTTGTCGGCGCGTTATTACGTTGTTCAACTCCAACAATTTGGATATTTTTCCTGAAGCGGACGGCACAACGGCTATTCAAGTTTTAGCGATACTTTTTATATTTTTCTGCCCAATTCTTTTTCGTTCGCAACTCTCCGCGTTACAACGGTCCACGGTTAGCTTTATTGTTTTACGGCTGCGACCGACTATTCGTCCGTACCTACGAACGGCCATGCAAGTGCCATTGTAAACAAAAGTTTTTTTGGTTTTTTATCGGCAATCAAGTCTTTTTTTAATGCTTTACTAGTCTATTACGCAACTATAACAGTCTATCACTATCACTGGAGATAGAAATATTGCCGCGCTTAAATGCAAAAAAAACTGTATAAATATCGCTTGTGCAATTTATTTAGCTTCTCGAAAATGTATATCATGCACTTTCATCAGTGTCTGGAGCACAGACGAGCCTACGTAAGGTGCATATAAATATTATACAATAGTTGATTAGTTGGAAGCGAACGAATGATAGGCAGGTGAAAGTATACAACAGAAAGATAAAGATGAAAATTGTAAAAAATTGGTTATAATTGATTGGAAAGTACAGCACGTAATAATCATGTGAGCCGTGATGGCGCGGTCCTCAGTCCGAGACAAATATAGAAGCATTAAGCTGTGGGTCATAGAACAGCTTGGTAGAACGCGTTTCAATTGACAAGCGCGTCCAATTATCCGCGCGTCCAGGAACGGCAGTATGGCAGTCAGGTAGGCAGACCGGCCAACGATGCATATTGCAGCCGCGTATAACACGTCGATTGTTTGCCGAGAGATGGTATTTTAACCCTTCGTTAGCCTATCATCGACAGCAGAAATCGAGTGGGTGTGTTTCCGGGCGTACACCCCCCCCCCCCTGCAGCTCTCAGTCCATTGTGTTGAAATGCAACGAATACTATGATCGCCGAGACGACACATCGAGAGGATGTGCCTTTGACAATAAATTAGGCAAGTCTCTCGTTTCATTTTTTGCCTGCGAACCATTCACCACTTGCTGCCTCGTTCCATTGTTTTCGAATAACGTAACTATTTTTACTTTGCCTTTCTCTCTGTCTCTGTCTGTCGTGCTTTTGTTTTCTTATAAGAAATGTTATTGCACGGTAAATTTACTGTTAAATATTCGCGTGACCCGCAACTGCTGTAAATGAAGCGATTCGGTATCAATCTGTACCGTTACGTAATTAAGTTTATCGAGATCCTCCGCAACTATTATCTCATAGTGCATTGAAATACAATTGTGAGAATGATCTTAATAAGTTCTATTATAATAGGACGTTAATGTTTTGAACTCGACAATTGATTGAAACTTCATTCAGCAGACTTTTTTTTACCTTCGCGTAAGACTTTCTTTCTATCAAGAGGATTAATTCTACAAGAAAGGTGCATTAGCTTCTAAGAGTCTGCGTTACAAGTTTTCGCAATCGACGTGGGTTTTCCAAAAAATTTTGTTAAAAAGGTTTATCCGAATAGTCATGAATAATTCATCATTAAATCTACTTGAAACATCTTCAGAGCTTTTTTTATTTGCAGTATGAATCACGATATAAATTTTTATATGGGCTCGCGAGATCATTACGCACCATTGCGTCACTCACTTCGAGCGCAATGCCTCGCAAAACAGACGGAAAGAAAGAAAATCCGCGCATGACAGCGGCGATATTCAACAATAATTCAGGTCTTTCATTCGCCGCGACACGGGCGCCTCGTACACATTCAAGACAGCGGGCGTATATGACGAACGATCCTTTTCGGCGCGCTGTCGCGGCTCTGTTCTCCGAGAGCCAGTACCTCTTTCTTTCGTCGCTCTAACGAAAGTTTAAGCAGTTAAATGGCCTGACTAAGCCGCAGCCTCCGCTCTTCTCTAGCATTCTCTCTTTGGCGAGCTGCTGCTTTTCAGGCTAAAAACTTGGATAGCGCTATAAAACAGTTGCGCCCGCTCGCGCGACATCCCGCCTGAACTCGATCGCACAAAAGGAAGTGCACACGCACGCAACAACAAAAAAATAAAAGCGTGGACGGCTGGAGAGGCCAAAAGTTTCTGTAGTTACCAGCTAGGAGAAACAATGAGCTGCACCTGACGGTCCCCTCGAGTATACACATAGCAACGTTGCGCTGCAGCCATGCACTCTTGAAATATTCCCGACTCTCATTATTATTCAAAGCCCTGCAAAAGATTGGACACTGCTTTACGTAGCTTGTTCGCTCGGCCGCGTCCGTATATATTATACCATTCCGGATATGAATCGTGAATTCCACGTCATCGCAGGACATTACTCGCGCGCAGTCGAGCTCACTTTCTCCCTCTCCCTCTCCCCGTAGATTCCGTCGATCATGCTTTCTGTCGCGCGCGCCCGGGACATAATGCTCGTAAATATTCCCACGTGACACACACACACACACACACACACACAACCTTTTACTTATTTACCCCGCAATACGCTACGTGATCTATTATGTTATGAGCTTCCCTACGTTTCTATCTCCTTCCTCGTTTATTTCAATGCTTATGTGCATATACAGAACTCATCGATAATCCTGTGCTTTATTCCTTGTTAACGAACCTGCTCGCAATTCTAATTGTAAAAGATGCTGCCAACAACTTTTTAATGAGTCGCGCCGACGTTAGGGTCACTCGAGTATTTAAACAAAAGACTATTCAACTGTTACGCATATTGATGAGCAAATGAATATTACAACTTGAATTCAACAGATCACACTCTAAAAGTATTGAATTTCAGATGAAGATTTACTATACGAGAAGCAAATGTTCAATAAACTAGTGCTTATTGTGGGAGTCAAATGTGCACGCGTTGGGTACCACGTTACTACAGTTGGATTCAACGGAGAAAAAAACAATGAGAACATCGCCGGCGTTGAATAAATTGAAATTGATGTGACCATGGGTTAACACGAAACTCCGAGCAAATGCAAGTTGATAATAATAGAGAGGACGAATCGCCGAAGACGAGCAGTGCAGAGAGCTCGGAGATGGAGTTTGGTTCTGGATGTAAATCGGCGTGAGTCATAGCCACGAGGTTAAGGACCTGTTGAGCTTGTCTCAACTGAAAAAACGCCTCACACTGTATCTCGAATTATATACAAATTGGTGCGTCTGGCCAGAGGCGAATTCTGGTAGCACTCGCGTTCTCCAGGCCAATCAACATGGCGAGTTGGCGCTCGCGGGGCACAAAAAGAAGCGAAGATGATACCTGGCAAGTAGACAGCAGGCGGAGCTGGTGGGCCGAGTGTCGGCGGCAGGATCAGCGACGGCATGATTCACCGATGTGTATCCGGTACGAGCTGCAATGGCAAGTAGCAACGGCGACGGTGGCGGCCAGGTAGATCTGGCATCGCCGCGCGGCTCCGCGCCAAGCGCTCGCTCTCTCGGCTTGGGCTCCGACTTTGCCTGCTGGTCTCCGCGGCGCGCGTGTGTGCCCGTGAGCGCGATGGGCGAGAGAGTGTATGGGTGCAGCGACGTGTAGGTGAGAGAGCCAGGCGAGCCTTACATTCTCCTCTCGCTCTCGCGAGTAGCGCGCGGGTAGCTGCAACTATCTCTCTCGGGGATTTCTGCTGCCGCCGCCGCCGCCGCAGCCGTTGCGAAAGGACCCGAGACACCGGCTGCCACGGAGACGGAAGGACCTTTTTTCTCTGCTCTTCGCCGTGCAGACACCGAGCGCCACTCCGTGAACCACATGCATCTATCTATATCTAGCTTCTTTTCTCTTCTCTTCCCTGCCTCCTTCTCCACCCTTCCTCTACCTGCCCCCTGTTCCTCGCACGGCTACTCCTTCATCTTACGTACTATCCTATAGATACTCTGTACCAACGACCTGCAGCAGTTCTCCTTTTTGCTATACCTTGACTTTGCCCTTCATCCTCTCTCTCTCTCTTTCTCTCTTTCTCTCTCTCTCTCTCTCGCTCCGGCTCTATCTCGCAGTACTCCAACGCGATTATCTATTATATCGGCTTCCACTTTTGTTCTTTCACGATTTACAGCTCTCTTCCAGACTCGCCGACACTCGTTCCATCTTCCGATATCCCCAGGCTCGAGTACATTTCGTCACATTGTCCGCTAGCAGTCGACGGTTCTTTTTTTACTTCTCCTTTCGCCAGCACTGATATAGGTAGCCCTGTAACGACCACCACCACTCGAGTTACGAAACCGGAGCGCAACTATCCTCTTGTTTACACTCCACTTTTTGTTTCTGCTCCCGCACCGGTAGCACCAATTATACCGGGGCAAAAATTATCGTAGCAGAAAAAACCAGAGGGTATAGGACGTTGAACTTGATGAAAAAATTTTTTTCAAAAACTCGAGAATTCTTTGGAGCGTTACGTAGTGTCCGTCCGGTACAGCTGTACTGGCGGTCGCACGCGCACTTATAATGGCGAGTGATGGAGGTAAATCCCTAGAATAGGGGCATCAGCTATGAACGACCAACGGCGACATTAGAGGATAAGGAAACGCGACGCGTTATACGCGAGTCACACCTCTCGCTCACACGTGGCCTGTCGCTCTCTCCTCCTCGCGGTGTTTACACAACGTGCACTGCAAGGATGCGAGCCAACAATGCGCTAGTCAACCTGCATCTCTCTCGGAAGGTGTAGTACGTGCTCGACCGAGTCCTCGCTTTGTCGTTTATTGTACCGAAGACACAGTACAGCCAAAGCGGTTACATCGAGAGAGCCGCGAGCGCGTGTCGTTGATAAACAAAGACGAGCTCTGGCGGAGCTGCGCGCGACTCTGGCGGCTCCAGAAGAGACACTAGCTGGCAGTGTGCTAGCATTCGGTTTACTCGCGGTACACACCACGCAGCGTACAGCAGTGCGCGAATCAGGCGGCGGTGGAGAGGAGAGCGCTCAGCCAGCGCGCGCAGCTCGAACAGGTCGCGACCAGCAGCGCCGCCGCGAATGAGGACAACGACTTCCCCCACCGCTACTCTCTCGCTCTACGCGAGATATGTATGTACATATAGGCTGTGAGCCAACTACCGAGGAGGCGCCCACGAGAGTCAAGGCGTGCGCTCGCCGCTCGCTCGCCCGCCGTTCGAGTCCGGTCTGCCGCCTACATTCACGTATATACACACAACTACCTGTCTGCCTTTTTCGAGGGGGCACTGCTCTTTACTTATACTCACGTTTTTGTTGTTCCTTCCTTTTCGGACTTTGGCCTGCGCCGCGACAGAGGTGGACGACCCCGCGCGGAGCGAGCGAACGTCGCATGTATACGCATCGTTATTCAATGAATGCCCCGAGGGTGCCTAAACACATTGCTATAGTTTACTGCTACTGCCCAGTGTACTCTCTCTCTCCTCTCTCTCTCTCTCTCTCTCTCTCTCTCTCTCTCTCTCTCTCTCTCTCTCTCTCTCTCTCTCGTACACGCTTTCTAACATCCTACATATACTGCCAAGGATTACCCACATCCGCGACTTAGATCCCTTTATCAACGACTTCACCCTTGCTCGCTATATATACTTTACGGATTACTTTTAGATTTCCTCGCGCCTCGACTGTCAATAACCCTCGTTCTCTCTCTCTCTCTCTCCTCTCCCTCCTGCGCGCGTGATATAACTAAGCTTCGAGTTGCTTATTGTTCTTGTTAGACGTTTTGGCGAGACTAGCTTTTTCATTTTTTTAAAGCTTCTTGCACTGATAACTGATTAGCATGTGAATATAAACACAACTATGAACAATCATACATTCACACCAGCTTTATGGAAAGACAATGAAATGCACTCACTTGACTTTCCAGTAAATCAAATCAAAATCTAATAAGACGCCCGCACTGATAATCTTTTATCGCTCTGTGAAAAAAACAGCTTGTAAACAATGATAACTTGCCAGACGATTTAAATATCACAATGCGAGATGAAATTATAAAAATAAAATACATGAGTTTTCAGTAGATAAAGTCAAAATGCGGAAAGACATCGCTCACTCATAATTTATTATGGAAAATATATGGCTATAAATTACGACGACTACCCAGACGACTTCCATAGAAAAATGTTATTGAAAACAATACTTAAATAATGAAATACTGCATGTTTTTGAGTATTTGCACGATTTTTCAGTAGGTAAAGTCGGAATATAGTGAGCCAAATATAGTTAATATGCGAATCTAAGGAAATAATTAATTAATTGCTGAGTAGCATGTGATGAAATTGTAAAAATATACTTATATGCGGATAGGTTGAAAGTAGGGATGTTAATCCAATCTTTCGAAAAGCATGAAGAAACTTCTTTTTTTTTCTTTTTCTTGAAGCATCAGCTGTCTAACTTAACAATACAAAGTAATAGCATTCTTTCGTAATCTCAGAGGTGTAGTTATCGATTAGACGTCTGAGTGGAAATTTCAAACGGAATTTAATAATAAAGTCTACCAAGTTTTACGTTTCACACAGCAGCTTAAAATCGGACTCTTTCAGATGACAGCTTAAACGATTTTTCACTCGTTAAGGAATGAAATTTTCTACAATTCATGTCGACAATTTTGCAAATAACCCGACTCGTCAAATTTTCCATTGATTATAGATCTGGCTTACGTTTTTTTTTTTTTTAATAGATTCGCTTGAGTCTGGAAACCAATGTTATATTGTATATATGGCTTCTAATCTTAAGGTTCACTGCCGGTCAGCAGATCGAACAGTGTTTTTACGAGCAATACAATTCAATCGACGCGACATTGACATAGTTTACTATAATTTGTTATATACGCACACACACACACACACACACATTCATATATCTAGAATATTTCAATAAACTACATTCAATGAGAGGTAAAAATTATGTAGAATAACATGTCGAAAATTTATTCTCTAAAATTTGCATTGTTACTTAACATCTTCGATGATCTCCTATATCACTTGGATGATCAATAGCACGATATTTTATGCTATATGAAAGTACAACTATAGAACATTGATATGAAATTTACATTTAATGAGACTTACAGAGCCTTGAGATGTCTTAAGAACTCAGTATAAGGCAAATGAGATAGCTTTCAAACTCCTATTTACCAACGTATCTTCGAAGAAAAAACTTCAGTGTGTACACTGTGAAGAAATACTTCCAATATTTTCTCGTCGCTTTAAATAGCAGAGGTATTCCAATATTATAGGTATTATAAATATTTTCAAATCTTCCAACTATTGAATATTTTCAACGCTGAAAATTTAATTTGTGAAATGTTCTTGATGTTCAGTATTGTATTCGATCTTGATAATTTTATCTTTCAAAAATTAATATTCGACCAATTCCACGGAATAAATTTAATTCGATTCCATTTTTATCGAATGTTCAATTAACGCTCTCACCAAATTTTAAGGGTATACGTTCTTGATTTTTAACGTTCATTATTTTCTGTAGCGTATAGTTCCACTCGAAAATAATGTATGTAGCTCTTCAGCACGCATGCTTGTAATATCCTCTTTTTCCCCACAGAAGTGTTGACATCAATAATGACGAAAACGACGCTTTTATAGATTTCTTTTAGTTATATTAGAATTTAAAAAAAACGAACAAAGAAATAATAAAATTAAGCAAAAGAGATACCGTTAATCCAACTTTAAATTCCACGAGTCAAAATATGTAAAAAATAAACCAAGATATGAAATAGGAACCTGTACCCCGTTTGGAAATTTTTATAAAAACCGCATAAATTAATATATTCTTTGTGGATTTAACCTTATATTTAAAGAAAACTAAATATGAAAATATGTTACATTATAATTGATTCATTTCATTATTTCACGATTAAATTTTCATATTTAGTAGTTGGTTTATTATTGCTATAAAGATGGCGCGCGAGTAAAAACCAAATGCTATGCTTTTAAGAAAATTTGTTTTGTCTGTAAACATCTGTAAAAAAACGCGCTAATTTTGATACGCTACCGAAACATTTTAAACTAACATATAATATTAGTCAAAAAATAATATTTGCCACTAATAGGTTATAGATCTTTATTAATAGCATACAACTATTTGTAGAAGTTCGTGTAAGTACCCGTACGCAAGCTGATATTAGAAATCAAATTATAAATTAAAATTTATCACTAAAACTTATAGCAGCTACTATTAACACGAATCTTGTAATAACTCTTATTCTTGCTAAGAATATCATTTTCCACTAGATTTGTTTGTATCCATGTTTTAATAATATTTTTAAAGCTTTTGTTCTGTACTTTTGTGAGACATTCCATTTTCTTGTTCAATTTTCTGAGTACTTTACCAATCGGTATTTTTTCTAATACCGACAATTCCTTAATGTAATTGTTTTGCGTCCATCCAGCATGTTGTCCTACATGTCTGGTTTTACTATTCGCGGTAGTAAATTCAGCAAATAAACAGTTGTTATTCTTTTAAACCACCTTGATAAGAAAATGATCCTTAATAGATACTGTCAATGAAAAATGCGATTTTTCAAGTTGAATTTTCATCAATTTATTTTGTATTCTTTATACACCACTTAACACATTATAATAGGTTCTTCCATATGCAACAATTTCATGAGTTGCACCATTCTAGAAAAACTCATAATATATAATCAACACTATAAATTATAAAATTACTAACATATTATCCAGTTATCCAGCAATAGTTTAAGATCATTAATATAAATAAAGAATAGCGATCTTGATATGGTTCCTTGAGGTATACCTAGTATAGCTCCTGTTACAGCACTTATATGTTAAAATATTTTAGAAATTGACTTCTATCCGTTAGATAGCTTTTGAATAGTTTGTTCGTTAGTCCTGAAACCCCATATCTTTCAAGTTGTTTTAGTAAAATTATATGGTTAACAGTATCGACTGCTTTAGCAAGATCAAAGATATTTATATTTTTGCTCAAACCAAACGGTTTGTTTGATATTACGTCATGTTTTATTAGGAAATTATATTTTCTACTATAAATCAGTTTTTAGAAAATTTTTACAATATTCGAAATCAATTATATAAGTCTATAGTTCGTAGCTAGCGATGTATCACCTGATTTGTGCATAGATAGAATTTCAAACGCTTTTAAAGCTATGGATGTAGTTTCATATATGCTCAAGTTAAAGATGTCTTACATATGCAACCATGGCTTTGAGAATTCGGACACTAATTCCATCAATACCGCTATCTTTGTTTTTAAGGGATTGTACACATTACAGCTTTTGATATTTTCATTAATTACCATCACTATCAAGCTTTTCAGCTGGCTTTACGGATACATTTCCAAAAAATTCGTTAAAGATAATAGCAATTTTATCAAGAGTAATATGATACGTGCCGTTATATTCACTTGTTGGTATCTTATTTTATTTGTTCTGTTTCGGATTATTCTAGGTGACGATATAATTTCAATTCACTCTTTCAGCATGATTTTTCAACTTTTTGTAATCGATGCGTTTGTAAATAATGTTTTTTATTTCTTTATATATTTCATGTTCCTGAAAATATCAGATAAGACCTTACATAAAAACTTGCACGAGAACTTTGATAAGAAATTGAGTAGGAACTTACTCAAGTTCTTACGTAAGATCTGACGAGCGCATTTCAAGTTAAGTTATTAGGTAAGAACTTACGCAAGTTCTTGCATAAGAACTTACTGGATATGATAAAATAATAATTTATCAGGTAAGTTCTTATCTATGAATTTACTCGATAAAAAAGAAAAAATGCATTTCATCAAGATTTTCATTTTGATTCATGGAAATTAGTTACGCCAGCTTTTTCGTAAGAAAATTTTTACGAAGCAAAAGAGTGATAAGAAAATGACATCAT